TGCTGTAGACAAACACCATGTTCTCACCATGTACGCTTAACTCTGAGTCGGTCAGACAATCGTCAAGAAATTGGGCTATTTTTTTTTCCTTCACAGACTCTACAAACTTACCGACCTTGAAACACACACAGAAACAGGAGGAAAGCAGCACAACTTGTCTCACTTTTTAAATACCAGAGAGAGTAGAAGAGAAAAAGAGAGGCCATACATATTCACATCCTGCAGTGATTAGGGCTGTGCTCCAAACATTCTGCTCCCCAGGGAGAGTCCACAATGAGACAGTTCCTTCCTCCTGTTGTTAGGCACTTTTTATTCAGGAATATTACTCTCCACACATGCATATTGCATGGCTTAGAAATACTTCTCTATATCATTAGTGTCGCCTACAATATTGTGTGTGTAAGTGTTTAAGTGAATGTGCATAATGTATCTTTGTGTTTGTGTGTATGCGCTCACAAACATGCATTTACAAGCTTATGTATGCACATCCGGTGTGTGTGTCCTTACCATGCAGCACGAAGTAAAGTGGGGGCATTATAAGCACAATGTTGCCACTAAGTAATTGCCAGAAGAAGCCTTGAGGAGCTGACAACATATTAAAAACCATACAGACACATCATGATGTTCAATAACACATGATGCATAATGCATAACAAGCCCATTTTTTTCCATCATCCCCCTACCATTGGCTCTTTTTCTATAATTGTCAAATGCAAGTTTTATTATGTCCATGAATACTGTTAGCTAATGGTTATTATTCATACAGGGAACCATGGGATATATGGTAGAAACAGTGTTTTACTGATTTCATATATATTTTTGAATATACAAATGATGGGGCGCCCACCCTCTGCACACTGAGTTTACACCTCTTCATTTGGGCGGGAGGTTAGTTGTCCCAAAGTGAAGAACTAAGCGTTTTAAAAATCAGTTTGACAGCAGCCATCACACAAATTATCTAGTTGTACCAGTGTCACACAGATGCTATGGTAGCAATGCCTATTTATTTATTAACTCTCTGGATTGCTCATGATGAGTCATGTTTGCACTAGTGGTTTTAAATGTTTGTACTTGTGACGGAGGATGAGGTACTTTGTTTTAGATTTCTCTGTTGTGTTATTACAATGCGTCTCATAATGGATCACTTGTCTTTTATCTGCAAACAAAATCTACCTACAGGTACAAATAAATAACCTGAACCTGGACCTGAAGGGGTTGACAGCCCGGTAGATACACCTGGGTGTCAGTACCGTACTGAGTGTTCCACCTACTTTTGACCATATATTGTTCAATCCGAAGAAACGTATTTCTAAGTAAAGTAAATTAATATTTATTGACATGTGCACAAGAAGATGACCCTAACCCTAAACAACAAGATGTTTTTTTACTTAAGTGTATGTTACAATGTGACCTTAGAAAAGAGAAACCAAGATATTTGTGGAGTTTGGATACTAATTAGGACCCCAAAGTAGAGACGGACACAAAATAAAGTTCAATGTGTTTAATAAAGAAAACTAGTCCACGGCAGGTACTGAAGACAGGGAGCTGGCTGGCTTAATCAATCAATCAATCAACAACTTTATTAATCCCTCAAGGGGCAATTGGTTATGAGCAGCAGCTTATGTCATGTACACAGGCAGGAACATACAAGAAGAAAACACACAGATACACCCGGGCCAATTTACACTATAAATAGTTCATAGCATCACAATAATAAATAAATAAATAGTAAAGTTAAAAGCCTTTCAAGAATTTAAAATTTGAGTGCAGAAGGGATGAATGATTTTGAAAAGCGATTAGTCCTTTGATCTGGTAGAGCATATCTACGCCCTGATGGCAACAGACGAAATTCATGTGAAAGTACATGACCTGGAGAGTTCAGAATGCTCTCTGCTTTCCGCAGAATCTGTTGGTTACAGAAGGAATTTAAGTCTCTCTGTTTCACGCCGATGATCTTGGAGCAGGTTTTAACATGCTGTTCAGGCTGTTCCTGTCTTTCAGTGTAAGGCTATGGAACCAGCAGATACAAGAAAAACAAATAAGGCTCTCAATGAATGCTTGGTAAAAACGACAAAGAATGAAAGGGCTGACAGAGAAAGAGTTCAGTTTGCGAAGAAGGTGCATTTTCTGTTGACCACGCTTCACAATACATTCAGTATTCACATCAAATTTGAGGTGGTCATNTTTGCATCGTGTTGAATCGCATCGCCCCGAATCGCATAATGTTGAATCAAATCGTATCTAACTGTTTCGCAACATGAGTTAATCGTATTGTATCGCATCGCCAGCGATGCGATACAATACGATTAACTCATGTTGCGAAACAGTTAGATACGATTTGATTCAACATTATGCGATTCGGGGCGATGCGATTCAACACGATGCAAAATAATGATACTTCAATATGGTACGACAGAGGATTTTTGTTTTATTCCTGATATGCAGCAAATCATAAATTAACAAAAAAAGTGCATAATATGCTTTACATATTTGGTTCTCTCTACTAGTACTACTATTACTGCGCATCCCATCATGTTGTTCTTTTTTACCTTTTTTACCTTAAAAAACTCTCCAGAGTAAAGTACAATTTTATAACACCTCACAGATAAACAATTTAAGGATGCATTGCCCATGATTAACAATGTGCAAATTACACCTACCATAGTGCAATGCCAACTTCCAGCCTGATGTGCTTAAGACTCATTCATAGGCTAACTCACCAGTGAGCAGAAAGCTGTGGTTTCAATATGAAAAATAAAGAAAATAACCTTTCACAAGTAGGTATTTCATAACTGCTTACAATTGTAAGGAAGACATTTAAACTATGATTGGCCGTCACAGGCTGCTGTAAACTAAACACCACTCTCTCTGACATAACACCTCACTGAGTGATTGAACTCATGTCTAACTTTCAGGTTTCTCTTTTCAGCTGCAGACCCCATGTCGCCTCTTTATGTGCGTCGCTAAGTTCCTCGTACTGTNTGTGTCAGGGAAGTCTGTCTGTCCATCGTCGTGAGGGTGGGAATGTCAGGGAGTCGTCTGTCCATCTGTGGAGGAACGAAATGCAGGGAAGGCTGTCTGTCACGTCGGTGGAGGGTGAAATGTCAGGGAAGTCTGTCTGTCCATCGGTGAGGTGGAATGTCAGGGAAGTCTGTCCTGTCCATCGTCCGTGAGGGTGAAACAGCTCCCAGCGAAGTCTGTCACCTGTCCATCGCTGGAGGGTGAAATGTCAGGAAGTCTGTCTTGTCATCGTGTGGAGGGTGAACATTGTCAGCGGAAGCCTGTCTGTCCACTCGTCGGAGGTGAAATGTCAGGGAAGTCTGTCTGTCCATCGTCGTGGAGGGTGGATGTCAGGGAAGTCTGTCCCTGTCCATCGTCGTGGAGTGAGAATGTCAGGGAAGTCTGCTGTCCATCGTCGTGGAGGTGAATGTAGGAGTCTGTTGTCATCGTCGTGGAGGGTGAAATGTCAGGGAACGTCTGTCTGTCCATCTCGTGGAGGTAGGAAATGTCAGGGACGTCTGTCTGTCCATCGTCCCGTGGGATCGGAACGTAACGTGGCACGTGGAATATGACTTTTGTCCTGCTACCTGTCTGTCAAGTGACTGTAAGGTGGGAGGTGCTGCTACCTGTCTGTCTGAAGTGACTGTAAGGTGGGAGGTGCTGCTACCTGTCTGTCTGAAGTGACTGTAAGGTGGGAGGTGCTGCTTTTGTCTGTCAAGTGACTGTAAGGTGGGAGGTGCTGCTACCTGTCTGTCTGAAGTGACTGCCGATGTCCGCACCGCTGTGCTCGAGACGTGGAGGGAGGGAGGGTAGAGAGAGCATCGGAACTTCACAGTCTAATCTCCTGACCTGATATTTTCCTTTTGTATTCAATCAATATATTTTTGGAAAGAGAAACTGTTTGCAAACAGCAGTAGATATATATTCATTTATTGGAGAGGAAAAAAAGAAGAAAAGAAAGCACCCCAAAAAAAAGGGCACTGTCTCTGGAGGAAGAAAAAGGGCAGGGGCTCAAGCCCACTTTGATGACTATGTGTGCACGTGTCTGCAACTCAACATATTAAATAATGTTGTAATGTGTTCAACTCTGCATCTGTTTCTTCTTTGGGACGTTCGTGTTACTTTTCCATTAAAGTCCCAAGGAAGACAAACTAATGTTTTGTTTGGCATACAATCTGCAACCATAAAAACTCTTAGCATTGTCTCCTCTCTTGTGAGAACTCGGATGCCTTAAATGACCCGTAAGCTCCGGTGTGTTTTATGAGACTGTCGCTCTTGGGTATTTTGTTTGATGGATGGATTTCACTATCCTCATGGGAAATGTAGCCTTCATCTTTAATGCAGTCGCCTTGACGAGCTTAATGGAGGGCTTTAGCAAACAGGCAGAGTGAGGGGAGAGAGGGTTAGAGCTGATAAGACTTTGTGATCTGTTTACTGGAGACTCATCATCAGCAGTCTTTAACACCATAACACTTCATTTGAATCGTAACATACATCTGTTGCATCTCCTTGATGAGCAATATTCAAGCAAAGGATGCAAGGAGGTATAAGGCAAAACACTCTAAAGTTTATCAAAAGATTTAGGGTAAAACATCTCTCAACTTGGGGTGTCTAAGTTATGTGATTCCTTTCACCAACTCACACACACATCCCACTGTACTGTGTTTCTCTTTGCATGATACACAGACTGTGATTGGATAAGACCTGGAAGAGATGACTCAACATCTGCAGTCACCAATGTCACACGTCTGTCCTTCAGGATAATTACATGAGTAGGCGCCGAGGCTCAGAGACTTCTCACCGGGCGAAAACACTTTCTCTCAGATTGTGACGCTATCTTTCTTCTTTCCCATTTCCTTGACTTTTCTGCATTTCCGCATCAGACTTTCTGCATTTTCCCACCCCTTGCTCCTTGTTTCTCTTCAGCGTTGCCTGTCTTCCTAGTTGCTTTCTCCTCCTCTTCTCCCTTTATTTCCTTCCTGCTCCTTTACTGTCCTCCTCTCTCTCCTGCAGCTCCTCCTCAGCTCCTCTCCAGACCCACAGCAGCAGCAGTGGGGTGATCCTGGACATCTCTGCCCTTAACATGGAGCAGCAAGAGAGCGAAGAGGTGCCTCCGCTGCCCCCCCGCTTCCGCTTCCGAGACCTGCTGCTCGGGGACCAGAGCTTCCAGAATGATGACAGGTAGGCAGCAGACAAAGAGACAGACACGTTCAGATTATGTTGTGTATTTGGTGATGTGCAAAGTGAAAACAAGTTAGAAATTGTGAGAGACATACCAGAGTTTAACGGCCTACTAATGCATTGCTGTTAAGGCTTTAAAGCTGCAACAATAACCTCATGATCTGTTTGGCCAGTGACCTTTTTGTCAGATGCACACTTTCAATCAACGCTGGCTTCCCTTCTTTATCCATACACTTGATCATCTAAATGCAGTAGTCCAGAGTAGTGTTGACCAATCACATTCAAGCAGTTTGTGTGGAGAGAAATCCATAAACATATTCACAGAAAGTAGAATAAAATCCAGTAAAAAAATGGTACTTGTCCCGTGTAGTTATACAATGCTGCATTGACTTTGAGTCATAAGGTCACATGGCATGGGAGCCATTGAAAATATATGAGAATTAAAATAAAATGTTCTAAAATCCAATAAAAAGAGGTGACTTCATGGAGTCTTTAGGGTGCATGATGTAGAACCTAGTGAAAAAATTCAACCTTTTCATATCATAAAAAGACCATACAGATTAAAGGTCCCATGTCATAGCTATTTCTACTGATCATAGTTCCATTGTTGAGGTCTACTAGAATAGATTTACATTGTTTAATGTTCCAAACTCACATTGGTTTCTCATACAGCATCTCTGTATAGTATGTGTATTCACTCTCTGTCACTCACCCCCCCCCNCATGAGCCCACTGTGCTCTGATTGGTCAGCTCGCCCACTCTGTTCTGATGAGTCCACCACCGTTACAGCAGAACATCAGTGTTTATGTGTTACAATGCCGTTTGTTAGCAACCAGAAAATGACACCAGTAATGACAAACGGATGAGAATGCTGCGTGGGGTCTGGGTGCTGTGTTGGCGGGACGTTGCGGGGCTCGCTGCTCCGCCCTTTGAGGCTCGAGGAGCGGACAGTGTGAGCTGGGTTAGTGGTGTCGTTTTCCTGGTTGCTGCGTTGGATCTGCGAGACAGCAGGACACCGCGGAACTCAGCCTGAGCACACACTCACTGTGAATGTGTGTGTGTGAGGAGCTCCACGGATTGGTCCATTTGGACCTGGGCATGGTTACGTCACTATTCTCAGGAAGAAACAAATGGAAACAGAGAAATCTCCAACGAGGCGTTCTGGGACAGCATAGACAGGGCTATTCTGTGTTAGAGTTTTACTCGCTACAGGGTGTACTTTGAGGGTTTGTGACTCTGCAGACCGTTTACATGCAGAAAAACCTTAATAACACACAAGGGGACGGGTAATAACCGGTAAGGCATGACATGGGACCTTTAAGCAAAGTAAATAATCAGCTATTTATCTACACTTCCCGTTGGTTGCAAATCTAAAACACTATATGGTAAAGGAAATGACTTGCAGTAATTCAAAATACAGCTACATCAAATTCATCTTTCCTCATTTCAAATGGTAGCGTCTGTTCCTTTTTTGTGCTGCCATGTGTCCACAATCCAAAATAAACTTTTAGTTTGAGCAGTGAGCGATTATTTGACGTCATCCCATCTATCTGTTATCTAATGCTGCTCTCACCTACCAGAAGAGCTGATTACTGGACCTCTTCAGTTCAAGAGCCCTCGACCCTCTTCAGTGAAGGTGTCTGCACTTCCTTTAAACTAACATCAGAGGAGGGAGGGTTTACCTTCCTGCAGTCTTTAGCAGCAGTACAGGGAGGACTGCTCGTTGAAAACATGCTCTTTATTGAATTTGACACATTCTAACACAACACAATGCACGACACCAGGGTCCTTCTTAATTTTCTTTTTAAATATCGCACTCATTCCCCTGGGAATAAATGCCCAGAATATAGATATGAATTGACATTCCCAAAAGCAGTGGAAACTTGTCCCTCTATGAACACACACAGGGGAAATGGAACAGTCTATGTTAGGTAAGATGACAGGAGTAACATGCAGTCTGTGAAGAATGTTATACTGGGTTTCCCTCAGTCTGTTACATATAAACGTGGTTCTTATTAAGTTTATAGATGCTTGCAAATCATCTTCAATATGTTCAGTTCCCAAATCATTCTCCCATCTACGGGAAATATTTGGCAGTTGGTATGTGCAAGCAGAACCAAGGAGTGAATAAAAGGATGAGATAAAAGTGCTTTCCATTTTGCCGATAAACTTCTCTGAGTCACTGCAAGGGAGGAATCAATGATGTCTTGTAGCTGTGAGGAGGAGAGTTCTTTCATCCGGTTATAGGTGTAAGTGCTCTTTAGATTTGTTCAGTTTTGAATGAGAAAATAAAGCAAGGAGTGTGTAGAGCTGTCCATGGAGCTGAAAATGAGGACGTTTCTGAATCACTGCAGTTTTTTAGAGGTTGTGAAGAAGGCTGCGCTTGTGTTCGATACATTTCCCTCGAGAATGTATTCAAAACTTCAAAAAGGTCTGACAGGAAACACGCTTTCCTGCAACAACACTGTGACCTAATTCACTGTGAGAATTTGAAATGAGCTCTTGTCACCATCAGTCCTTCTGTTGTCTGTTTTCCTCATCCTTACTGTCTCCTCTTTTATATTTAGTTTGCAATTTCATTGACAAAATCAATAGCACGATTATGTTTGATATTTTAGTTATGCTTATTTTTTTCATCCTGAGATTTGAAACGCTGCAAGCTGAGCTCTTTTCTAAAAGTCTTAAAAAAGAGAGTCACAAATATCCTAAAAAAGGACAAACCTGTGTGCTTTTTTCTGTTATAGCAGAAAAGAGAAGAGTGCCTGAATTGAACCGTCTCGAGGAGTTTGTAATATGCTCATAAGTGCGTCCCTTTGAGATATGTATTCTGTATTGAAGCTGCCAGATGGACCTCAGGAGAGTAAAGATCAAATACAATTTTGGATGAGATTACAGCAGCCGAAAACCTTTGAGACGGCAGTGTGTTTTTGGAATTTTTGCGAGGAAAAACAACAAGCTCTGCAAACGCTTTGAGTGAAACGTGATCCCCTCACCTTGCAACAACCACTGTTATAGCCCCAATAAAGCGCTCCACATTCCCAGCTGCTGTTTAGACACCAGCTATAATCCCTCTGCCGTCCGTCCCCGGTAGATAGTGTTCAGTGGACAGTCTTTTGTGCGTCTGTGAACTCCCTAATGTCACTGAACACATCTTCCCAGGATCATCAATCACTCACAGCTTCCTCTTTCAAAGTCAGGCATGCACGAGCAGAAAAACAAATATTGACAAACCGTCTATATCTAAAGTCAGATACGCTTTCTCTGAGGTTAATTTTGAAATGTTCATGTTTTCATCAATGTTTTGCTTTCTGTCATCTTCTGTCCAATTGACTTTGTTTATAACAATTCTTCCAACATCCAAAGCTAAGTGGAGTCTCTCTGAGCATGAGTCAACGATACATCAATGCCTAGTTTTACATGCTATAAAGTTCTCTTCTGTCAATTGACTAATCAGTTTTATCATTAAATATTTGATATCAGGGCTTCAACTATTTATCATCACATGCAAAACCCAAACATATTTAAACAAAAAAGCAGCAAAACCTCACAACTGAAAAAGCTGTAACAACGTAAGGTTAGGTTATAACTGCTTCAAAAGAATATGAATTAAGTAAGGGATAATGTGCAGCGACTTGGTCATTATGGGTAAAAGAACAGCCGACAGGCTGATCAGGTGCTGACGCGACGCGGAGGGATCTTGATCAGCATGAAGGGTGTTCTTTTACCCATAATGACCAAGTTGCTGCACATTATCCCGCTTATTACAAGGCCACATTCTCAACAAAGTAACCATATGACTCCCAATATTAAATGAAATGCTTTTATAGATTTAGAAAATGTTTTTATTGATTTTAAATGACATGCATCCGCTAAGCAAAATGGTCCGTTGTTACTGCTTGAACTACGTAGCAACGGCAGGAACTGCTTCCATAGCGTTTTTGAGGAGCTTTTTGATTACAGATTTGAAAACATCGTTGCTTGCTTTAAAAGTAGCACAATTCATTATGTCAAACCTTGGAAAGTATCTAGATATCCCTGCCCTAATGCCAAAGTAACTGCACACTGGATATGTTTTGCCGTTTGATGTCTATGTCTGGACCCCTGCGTAACAAGGACCGCAGCTCCGTGTTGAGGGTTTCTGCCCGTTACTTCTCCGCTGTTTTCTTGTCCCTCTTATATTTTTATTTTCTTCGCTGGGGACTCATCAGCCACTAACCATTCATCCAAATTACTGTGCTCTCCAAATATATTAAAGTGGAGTGTGGCCTCTTCTGTATTTTCAAAAAGCTCTGACCCATACAGGAGGTAATCTACAGGACTACTTTAGGCTTTTTAAATTAAGAGCAGACAAAGAGGTGGAAGGGAGACAGGAGGTGAGAAAAGCCTCTTTTTATGTTGAATTATCTCAATTATTTGTATTTATCGACTTAGTTCGTATACAGATGCATTTAGTTCAGAATACAAACTCGTGATTTTACATAAAATAAAGGTTAATCACAACAAAGAAAATAAAAATAAATAAAAAAGATTAATAAAATACTGATGTCTATATACTGTACCTACACACGTACTCATATACATACACATATTTACACAGACGCAGTAAGCAGAACTGAAAGAGAGGGAAACATGATCAGTGTTCTGGCCCTTAAAGCATTCAAGTTGTATTTTAGTTTTAGTTTTTGCAATATGCAATCAATTTTCTCCATCTTATCAGCTGTGTGATTTTGGTTTCTAATTTGTTATGTTATCTTTTCCATAGTGTACACTTGATTGATCAGACTACCTGTTTGTGTATGGCTTGTATGTCGGGCTCCAGTTCCTGTATGTGTTATCACTTTAAGAGCAGTAGTTCTAAATGTTCTTGCCAATCATTTGTCTTGTTCTTCCATTATGTTTAGAGAACTCATAGCAAGGAGATTTTCTGAACTCAAAAGAAAAAGTGTCTGTCAGATGTGAGGCTAAAACGTCAGCAGAGGCTCTCATGACAGAAGAACAGACTGGCTTTTAAGTCACAAACACTTTACATTCTGACATGCTGCAGCTGATGATGCCCGACACCGTCTGTACATCTATTTCATTATATATTTATATGAATAATAAAAAATACACATCAGTGTTTATCATCCACTGATTTGATGGGAACATTCCTCCAGTGTCACAGTGTTAACAGCTTTCATCAGAAGCATCTATATTATTTAGGGTTATTCCGGCCATTGCAACGTTGCTGTGGCAACACAGAGAGAAAAGGAGAGAGATTGTGTACTGTTCTAAAAATATTCCAATAAGCAGTCCTCAAAATAAATCATTAACCGAACACTTGCTTCGTGTTTTTGATCTCTTTCAAAAACAGATTCTCCTTGTTTTTGGAGAATTTGGATTTTGTATCATTTAAAGTAGAGAAAGTAGAGCGCGCTGCCAAGAAGCTCATCCAGTGTAGAGACTAGGAGAGACTAGGAGAGACTAGGAGAGACTGCACGACGCAGCGAGGTGCACTATGGATCCGAGGATCGTCCTCCCCACCTGGGAGAGTCCCCCCGGGGGGGCGTGGAGGTCGGACCTGCTTCACGTGGACGCCGGGCAGAGGTAGGGCCGCATGTAGTCTCTAGAGGAATACACATGGTGTCCTTATGATAGTGCTTTGGTGCTTTGAAACGGGAAGCAAGGGTTGAACATCGCATGAAGATTTTATAGATTTATTTGAGCTTAAGCCTATTTAAATTACGTAATGGATTTGCAGATTGAGGAAGCAACGTGGGCTGCGAGCAGCGGTTTGATGAGCGCGCCTAAAAGCTGCTGAGATGCACAGACATGTCTGCGTGTGTAATCCTTTAAAGAGAGCTGGCAGTTAGTTATTTACTTTGTGGACACATACTGTATATGGGATATAACGTATCGATTGTCATTATCCATGCACAGTAAACAAATATTTCTTAAGGCGTCAGAAAGGAGTGAAAGTTGATTTATTAAAATTACTTTTTGTGTTTCAAAACAAAGATCTGTAATGTATTAGAAGACTAATCCAACCAGAAAATGGTCACATGCATTAAGCCACAACAAGTTAATTTTCAGACGGTTATTTACAAATTCTTTGCAAACCTTTTTCTTAATTCATCATGAAAAGTGTGGTATATATAATGTCAGAATTTCTCTCTAAATATTGCTTATTTTGTCCAACAAAAAGTCACAAACAACAACAAAAATAATAAATAATTTAGTAGCCAAAACTAGTGGAATTAGTGGAAAGTAGTACTTTCCTGTCCATTGACTTATTTTTCTAATAAAATATCTAATGAGGATTATCTCATGATAAATCCCATGCGAAACCCAAAAATCCTTTTTAAATTTGACAAAGAGAACCAACAAATCTATGCAGTATAATGGAGATGGAACGAGGTAAAGTTGGGTCATTTCTGCCTGAAAAAATAATGTAAATTAGTTGTTGATTAACTTAAACTTAATGTTAATGTTGCCAACTAAATATGTTCACTAAAGTCAAATCCCTGGTGTCTCATTGTATTGGCATGTGTTCAGAGAACAGGTCTCTCTGGGGTAGAAGAACACCTCCAGAGCTCATTGGACAAAGCAGTACCGATCCAGAGCTGCTAGAAGATTTCACCTGAGAAACTTCTGCAGAATTATTCATTTCCAAAGACATCATTACCCCCGGCACCTCATGGCCATGATGTGAAACTGAATTATGACTAATATCAGACCTTCTCTGCCACTAATTGTGTGCTCAGCAGGAATTAAGGGTCATTACTTACACAGTAATGTGTATGTGGGTGGGTGGAGGGGGGAGACAGACATCTGTAGGACCCTCATGAGTGACGGCAGCTCTCAGGTCAAGAGCCTTTCTCTGGACAGCTGCTTATTTTAATTATATTTTTGAAGGGTATTTTTCTGTTATATCTTACACAGGATCCGCCCTCTACTGGACTCTATGGGTACTACCCAAGCGGCAAACTCCGGGGCAGAGCCCGGATGCCAATAAGGAAGTGCCACAAACTGCAGGTCATCTATTGGCTGATAGGCGATGACTGCGGAAAGGATGAATTTCCATAGGCCCCCATGTTAAAATGCCCAACTTTACAGCAGAAATAAACATGTTTTCTACCCCTGGATGCAATAAAAATTATTCGGGATATAGTTAGATTCCACCTTAATGATTATTAATTGTTGAGTGAATTATTTTATAACGCGACCCTTTTATTTATATTAGGTCTTGAAGTGTTTGCATAAATTAGGGCGTGGTCACTAACAGCAACTTGTTCACTCTGCTAGGCTACAACGTTAGCTAGTTGTAGTTACTGTACTTGAGCCTTTAGCCGTTTTCATGGTGATTGTGCCTTTTAGGGAATATTGTTACAAATACCAGAAAATTAAAATGTCGTGCTGTGCGGTTGAATGTACTAATAGAACTTCCAAGAAGTTAATAACGCGTTAACGCAAAAAATAATTAACGCCACTAATTATTTTAACGCGATTAACGCATGTGCATTTTTTGTCCTCGGCCGCCCCGTAGTTTCAGAGCGCATCGAGTTTAAAATACCATCTATACAATCCAAGCACACTGCTGATGCCGACAGCCCCGCTCCTGCCGCCCGCTTGCAGCAGACCACACTTGAAAGTGTGCGGGGGAGACACCTGGACACGTCTACGAGCAGCAACTTTCAACAAAGATCGCTAAATGGGTGATGACAGCTTGTGTTGGGTTCAGAATTCCAGAAAAGACAGACAACTTCTAAGTTCAACTATTTATTGTAAAAAGAGCAAAAGATATATTTTACTTGGCCAAGGACTCATCACGTCTTTGGGAATCACAGGCAGCAAAGCTGTAATCTGTAACCACCAAATCCGTCAAAAGCCTCGAACCTCGTGTGACAATAAATTTTATTACACAGGGCGTTGCCCGTACATTTATGATTGGTCAAGACTAGCTGAAGAGATACCATGGTTTAGACCTGGTTCTCTTTGGTTGGTGCGCAGACTCAGATAGAGTCTCTTGGCAACACGATCCTCCAATCAGCATTCGGCCGGCCTGTGGAAGTCCCTCCCTACTCTGGCACCATCATACTAATTTGTTTTCTCTAACGTTTCTTCAGATATAGTGGGAAACCATAATGTTGCTTCCTAGCTTTGCGGGGGAGCGCGGCTCTCATACAAAGTGAAGGCCGGTGCGATGTGCTGTTCTGACTACCTCTTTGTGTTCTCTCAGTCTCTGCACTCGACCTTGCTACTTTCAATATTGCAAGCTAAACTTTCTTCTGACTATTCCCCTCGTTGGTATCTAACCCATCAGAACCTGGGATTAGTGATTGTGTCTATTTATTCTATAGTCATAGCAATCTCATGAGCACAATAAGCATATAATGTAATAATAAGAATCAGTCTTGTAATGTTATATAAAAATAGACTCCACACTTCTATAGATGTCAGGGCCGGGATTTTAGTGAGTGCGAGCCGCGATCCGTCCTTATGCACGGCGGTGCCCAAGCAACACGGACACCAGCTGTGACTTAGTTCACGTCGTCCAGCGAAGCCGATCCCCGGGGAGTTGGACGGCATCCCAAGCGTAGACCCCAGGGGACGGTTTCGCCAACTGGCGAGTTATGTATACTCATNGGTGATGGAGCAGGTCTGTGAGGTAGGGGGGGCCTGGTGATGGAGCAGGTTTGTGAGGTAGGAGGGGGCCTGGTGATGGAGCAGGTCTGTGAGGTAGGAGGGGGCCTGGTGATGGAGCAGGTCTGTGAGGTAGG